GCGATGGTGTGTTGGGTAGACATTGGTAACCAGCGAGGGGGGGGTTGGATAGACATTGGTAACCAGCAAGGTGGTGTTGGGTAGACATTGGTAACCAGCGATGGGGTGATGGATAGACATTGGTAACCAGCGAGGGGGGGGGGTTGGATAGACATTGGTAATCAGCGAAGGGGTGTTGGGTAGACATCCTTTATTGTAGGATTAGGTCAAAATAAACTTGGTTGGGCAGGGGTCGGGGGGTGTCGGCCCGGCACCAGCGACCTCTGACCCAGAGGTGAAATGTCGTCCCCCCTCTAGAACTACAGACGCCTCCAGACAGATTTTATGGAGGACGACCACGAGCGAGTGGTGTCAGTGACCTCACTGTCTGTTCAGCTCTTCACTGTCCCGACCATGGTGAGTAATTCTCCTCCTCCTCCTCTGCACCTCCACACACCTGTCTCTCTCTCTCTGCCTGTCTCTCTCTCCTGCTGGTAGAGTTATGAGCGCTTGCAGAGCGACTATGTGAGAGACGACCACCACCGTGAGTTCTCCATCACTGACCTGTCAGTACAAATATTCACCGTCCCTTCACTGGTGAGTTCAGTCTGAACGTTTGTGTTGGAGGCGAGAAATAAAGACTCACTACAGCTTTCACCACTTCTTTTTTAATTCAGTTATCAAACATTGTCATGTCTTTGTGATTTAGTAAGTCACAGTCAACAATGTCTTGAGATAAAGAAACATTCCTTCTGTCACAGTCCTCCATCAAGTTCTACCAGTCTGAATACTGTACTACAGTTCACACACTTAGATTTTGTGATTAAAGTCATCTTGTCATCTGTTTGTGTTCAGGCCCGGATGCTGATGGTGGAGGAGAACCTGATGACGACCATCATCAGGACGTTTGTGGATCACCTTCGTCACAGAGACCTGCAGGGACGCTTTCAGTTTGACCGCTACACTGCCCAGCAGGCCTTCAAGTTCGGACGAGTCCAGAGCCTCATTGGAGACCTCAAGTTAGGACCAGTTTATGTACCAGTTTATATACCAGTTTATATACCAGTTTATAT